TTGCTCTCCCTGAGCACATGAAAGTGAGAGGCAAATTTGAAAATGCTGGCTTTCAGATTGACATACCTGTAGTAATTTTCATATTATCAAGTTAATATGGGTACCAGTAGATTTACTTCATTCAGAATTGATGCATTTTACCTTTTTTGAAACTGATGCAAGTTTTTGTATAGGTACTCCATAAACATTAAGCTGCACTCCTGTTTCTATTTATGTACAGGCCAAACTATGCCTGATATTAGTCCAAAGCCAAAAGGCTCATGATTTTCCATATAGCTGTTGGGCCTCAGCAGAGTTGAGTGTTTCAAGCCATGGTGACCCCATAGCTGAAGACTGCTGCGTATGTGTGCTCACTCCAGATCCTCCCCCTCCCTCCCCACCCTAATTAGCCCTCCATTTTGACTGGAACCAAGTGTTGTTGTCATGAGTTCTGAGATCCTTCAGAATGTTATACGCAGATGAGATGCAGGGTGTCTTGGTCTGGCTCCACCTTCACGGAAGGCAGGGCTACACTGATCATATGTGACAAGCTGAGATGGGGCAACAGAGGGATTCTGGGTGAACTGTTTAGGGCCTTGTTCTGTGATGTTTACTAGACATTGAAGACTGGTGAAAACACAGGAATCGCTGGAAATGGGGAAAGAAAAGTGCAGCCCAGTTGTGGGAGTGAATAGGATGTTGAAATGTATTCAGTGTAGTGACTTGGCATGACTTGAAAAAGAGTTGGTGCTGAGGGGGACTGAGTGCAATGGGTACTAGCATTATCGTATTCAGATGGGCTGTACTGTATACCTTTGTTATAATCCCCATCAGTGTGTCTGCTCAGTGTGGGTTATGTGTTTGATAGTTATGATTAGTATTGGATGCACTGATCCAGTTCATAGTTGGTTTCTGTTATTGAACATGTGCTGCTGTTGGCTGCAGTTTAATGATAGACAGTGTATCCTGTGAGGTTTCCTTGTATGTGAATGTAAGATTAGGGATTTTTTTAACCCAATGCTGATTGGGGGTGGAGGAAACCTCATCTTGTACAGGAAACCCTTCCTATTCATGGTGCGAATATTCGGGGCAAGCACCGCCACAACTCCCTCTGGCGCTGCACTGAGTTCCTGCCTCTGCAGTTAAGCCAGGCACGGAGCGCTGCGCGGGGCTGGGGAGGGCAGAGCCAGGGATATCGGAGAGGGCGTGCTGGGGATGGAGTGGGGGGCAGCAGTGGCATCTTCTCCCCCGGAGGCAGCTGCGGTTGGTCCCCAGGTGCTGTGGGGAGCCCACACTTCCAGCCTTTCATGGGGGGTGGCGGAGCAGGGGTTGACTGTGGGGTCTGACAGGGAGCCCTGTCAGTATTCGTGGATTTTGCCATTTGCTGGGATCTCCTGCAAATGGCGAGGGTCTCCTGTATTGGAGTAGTAATGCCCCTCTTTGTATGGTAGTGCCCCTCTTTAAGAAAGGGAAGAGGAAGATCCAGGCAATGACAGACTGGTCAGTCTTGAAAAGTTTTATGGAGCAGATGGTTTAAGGAATCTGTTTCTGAACACGTAGAAGAGAACAAGGTGATCAGGCACAGCCAGCATGGATTCACTGAGAGCAAGTCATGCCTGATCAACTTGATTTCTTTCTGTGATAAGGTGATGGGCTCTGTGGGGCAAGGAAGCAGTGGATGTGCTTTATCTCAATTTTAGCAAGGCTTTCGACACAGTGTCCCATAATATTCTTATTATTAAGCTAAGAAATTAGTCTAGATTTGGGCTGTCCAACTTCTGATCCAGCATAGCCTGCATTTCTGTTCACATCTTTCTTGTGGGCCTCATCTTTTCTCTCCCTCACCCTCTTCCTTATTTTCACTTTTTTTGGAAATGGCGCACCTCCCTTTCTCCCAACCCCAATACCAGCTCTGTTGTGGACACTGAAATAAGCTGCATCTCACCATAAAATGTTAGCACTGGTATACATACATACCTGCCCACCCAGCCTGATGGTGTGTGGATTGGGAGCTGCCCGCCATAGGGCTGGGCAGGCTCTGTGCCTCCATGTGGGGCTTCCAGCACTCCAGCGGGAAGCCACTCATGGAGGTATGGAGCCGGCCTAGCCTCGATGGTGCATGCCTCCATGGGTGGCTTCTTGGCTGGCCTGATGGCATGCAACTCCTGGTCCATTCACCATTGGGCTGGGTCGGCCCTCCATGTGGGGCTTCTTCCCGCCCCCCCCCCCCCCCCCCCCATGCTCCCCATCTCCTTGCTTCATCAGCCCTCACCTGCATGCTCCCTGCAAGCCCCACTTACCTCAAAGGCTCCAGGAGGAAAAGCAAGCATGAGCTAAGCCCTGGCTGACTGAGAGTCTCAGGCCCTGCACCGCTGCTGGGTGCTGCGCGCGCGCGCCCCCCGCCCCCCCAAAAATAGGGTTTGTCGGCCTTTTTGCAAGAAGTTCTTGCAGGCTGGAACTTTACCAGGCTGCAGAGCGCTCTTTGCAAAAGTGGAAAATCCGTGGGTATCTCTATTAAAATTAAAATCTGCTTTTTTCTCTGTTAAAGGGGAAAACCCAGATCCCTGGTTATGTAAAACTAAAGACTGCCATGTCTTGGAACAACAAGCTTGGTTGGGGTGCAGTTTCTGAGAGAGTATTGTGACAGCACACGCATAGACTGTCCAAACTGATACGACCAGTAACATTTGACAGCAACGAGTCCTACACTCTTGATGATAGTGAGTTGTTTGGGATTTTGATAGCATATTTTGCTTTAATATTAAAAGGGGGGGGGAAGCCTTCAGCCTTCATACTAAGTAAATCTTAACTTTTGATTAGTTCTTCCCTTTCAGTATTCCAGTAAAAACTTTTATATTTGAGCTTGTGTGAAACTAGTCATAACGTTTTCAGAATCTTAAATGTTAGAGGTGGAAAAGCTATGAGGGGTTTTCCAGGGTTTTTGGTTGTAGCCGTGTTGGTCTAAGGACATAGGCAGGCAAGGTCTTTGAGTAGATGTGGTATCTTATTAGACCAACTGAGCGGTTGGAAAAAACTGCTTAGCAAGCTTTTGGGTACAATCTCCCCTCCTCAGGCATAGAGAGTCTCTGCTGTTCTGAGACTTCAAGGAATGAGAGAAGCTAAAAGTGTGGCAGGGGGTCAGTAAATATGTAAATGGGTGGAAATTAAGAAAACAAAAGGTAGAGCAGGGAAGAGGGCATAAAAGGAGAAGGGGGGGGGGGGGGGACAAAAGGGGGGGGGGGGGGGGGGGGACCAAAGATGAGTAAGGGAGACTCAATAGTAGTAGTAATTGGAGGTAGAAAAGAGGCTGCCTGTGAAAAAACTAATAGCTGGAAATTATGAAGACAAAGGGCAGAAAAGGAGGGAAGGGGAGAAAGGGAGGGGAGGAAGAGTGTGAGGTCAGGTCTGGCAGGGATTTTCTGAACATTGGGTTTTCCAGGGGCTCTTCCAAACATTTAATGAACATTGACAGTCCAATCTTCATATCTTAAAACTGCATGTTGATTTGTTTCTAGTAATACTCAAATGCAGCAAAATTAAATGTAAGCCTTCACGTGCTGCTTCTTTGTTAGAGGTGAAATCTACCCTTTGCCTATATGCTGAATAACTGGAGCATATTTAGCGGTAACCACTAATTAAGGAGTTTAAATGTTCCCTGTTTTAATGATGAAACTGTTATTTCTTCCCCTTGTTCTGAAATAATGATGGTTCAGTCATTGATGTAACATGTACAAGAAGCTGTCACACTAAACTACTGAAACCTAATGGACTACATCTAAACGTTCTGTATTTTAATTGGCATGCAAGGATTACTTAAATTGTTGGTTTCAGTGAGGTTTAGAGGTTTTATACTGCTTCAGAGACCTATGGCTATAAAAGAGCAAGCAATATGTTGGACTTCAATTGAAGTAAAAACTTTTTATAGTGGATTGTGGGGGTCAGTGTTCTTTAGGCAAAAAATGCAAGTGGATGAACTGGTGTCATGCTCATAGCCTTCTCTTCAGCTGAGAAATGACACGAGGACTTGTCTCATTTTAGAGTCCATCTCCTAGAGGGAAGTTCAGGAAGAGCAGTGAAGAGCTGATAGCCAGTCTTGCACCCATCATTATTGATTCGTAGTCAAGCATACTTCTTTTGTGCATGGATGTCCTTGCTGGAATATGTTAGGATTAGATTAATCAAGATCTGCTTACTAATACCTATCATTTTAATTACTACAGGGCTGTGGTAGCATCTTAATATTTATGGATTACGATATCGAAACATATGTCCATATTTCAGATGCAAATGACACATGAACATTAAACTTTATCTGCTTTCTTTGCTTGAGGAAGTAACTTATAGCTCTACCTGTTGCACTTCCAAATGTAGAACATGAATCTTGGATCTTTGAAATGAGAACCATATTTTTTTTCACCTTTTGGTCATCAGGATGACTTTTTGAATGCCCTACTTATTCATTCCAAAGCACCATGTCTGCATGCCTTTTTCAGCAGGTGCTTTGATTTCTTGGCATGTAAAGCATAGGTGATTGAGCTGAGCACGGATCAGAAGGAGTGTCACATGAGAAGTACATGAATACTGATCTTCCCATGCAATTTAAAGACTGTGGAACATTGTTAAATGTATCCTGCTGAAAATTGTGGAGCATACGTGGATATCTTTTGAAATTAAGCCTTGATATTTATGCAACAGCAGTCTTGTTTTTACAGCTTTTAAAGTTTCCTACTTAATGCTTTTTATGAAGTAACTATTATGGTGAAAAGCAATGTTAACCTTTTGGGGAATGCAGACCTTCATT